GTATCTTTGAACACAAGTGGTGTGAGTTTATTGGTATAATACACTGCTAGTAGTGAAGGGTAAATTTGTATCAATAAATTGTCAAACTGATCTTCAAAGAATTTATTCTAATTTAGTCTTAGGTCTGGGGATATAGTTCAGTTGGTAGAGTGCTTATCTCACATGCACAAGGACATGAATTCAATCCCCAGCACCACCAAAAAACAAACAAAAACCAACAATTTAGTCTTTTCCCATAACATATGGGAATGCTTATTGATGCTACATTGGCTAATACAGCATATTACCCAACTTTTTGATTGTTTTTCTGATGAATAAAAAAATCAGATTTTTAAAATATTTTTTTTTTAGTTGAGGATGGACACAATACATTTATTTATTTGTTTGTTTGTTTGTTTGTTTATTTATTGTGCTGAGGATCGAACCTGCCAGGAAAATGCCGCACCACTGAGCCACAACCCCCAGCCCCCAAAATGAGATCTTACTGTGCACATGTTTTTGGATATTTTAGTTTGAAAAACTTCAGGTATTTATAAAAATAGAGATTATTATAGTCATCTCTTAGTATCCATGAGGGATTGGTTCCAGGAACCTCTTGGAAACCAAAATCTTCAGATGCTCAACTCTCTTATATAAAATAGCATAATATTTGCATATAACCTATGTATATCCTCTTATATTCTTTAAATTATCTCAAGATTACTTATAATACTTAATAAGTGCTATTTAAATAGTTGTTATACTATTTGATTTAGTTGTTATACTATCTGGTTTAAAGAAACAAGGATATAGGACCAGTTAATAATAATGACAAGAAAAAAATATCTGTACCTGTTCAGTACAGATGCAAATTTTTCCTGAATATTTTCAATATGAGTTTGGTTAAGTGTTCATAGTAGAACCCATGGATACAGAAGACCAGCTGGGTAATGACCTGTGAGTTCATCTCTTGGCTTCAGCCATCAATAGGAAATCAGTGTTAGTTCATGGATTCCCCACCCATTTTATCTCTCCAGATTACTTTTTTCTCTTTTTTAGTTTTTATATTTTTGGTTGTGGATAAACCTTTAATTTTATTTATTTATTTTATGTGGTGCTGAGAATCAAACCCAGTGCCTTACACATACTAGGCAAGCACTCTACCACTGAGCCACAACCCCAGCCCCTCCAGATTACTTTTGAAGCAAATATGAGACATTGAACAATGTCTTTCATAAATGTTTCAGCATTTATATCTAAAAGATAAGGACTATTTTAAAAGCATACTTACAATACTATGAATACTGACTTTGGTAATATTACCAAAGTCAGTATTCAAAGACCCCTGATTACATTATAATTTTTAAAAAATATTTTATTTTTTAGTTGTAGTTGAACATAATACCTTTATTTTATTTATTTATTTTTATGTGTTGCTGAGGATCGAACCCAGGGCCTGGCACATGATAGGCGAGCACTCTACCACTGAATAACCCCAACCCAGATTATATTACAATTTTAAATTTTTAGTGGTTTATTTGAAGCATATTCAAGAAAAGTGATTGGTTATATGTCTCTTAAAGCTAACTGTTCTTTTTGAATTCATAAAATGATTTCAAACTTTTTATTAAGAAGAATTTCAAACATAACCAAAAGTAGACAGAATGTTTTATCTTGTGGTTTTATTCTATATTTCTTTTACTAAAAGAGTGAACATTGTTCTTATGTTTAAAAACCTTGTATTTTCAGTGAAATGCCTGTTCATGTCCTTTTCCTTCTTTTCTATTTTGTTTTTCTGCCTTTTTAGTATTGATTTACATGTTGCAAATATTTAGTCATTTCTGGATGGGGGGATGTCACAGAATTTTTTTCTAACTTCTTGCAATATTTGTCTTTATTGCCCCATTGGCTCTAGATTGATCTCTCTGATCCTTGTATTTAATACACATAGTAATAACTATCTACAGTTATTACTATGTGTATTAAATACACATAGTTATTAAATAACTATGTAGGTCCAGCCTCCCAATGGAAATGTCAGCTACTGATCAGTCCATTGCCCTGAAGCTTCTACTTACCAGGGGTGGTCTTACAGGAAGTGTTTGGACAGTGAACAGAGACATAGCTATTGTCAGTGCTGACAACTGCATTATGGAGACTTTCTTAAGACCCTCTTTGTGTTTCCTAAGAGCCTAGGAGCATAGTAATCATATGTGGAATTGAATTAAATCCTGGCATTGGCTGTTAAATTTGAAAATTATGCCAGGACTTTGTAAAGGTCTTCCACAAATCTTTTGAAGTTCTCAGTAGCACTTCATTTGATTGTAGCAATGAATTAGATTATTACTAGAAACCAGGTGCTCTCTCAGGGAAGACAGCTTCAGGCTCAGTCAGAAGTATTCCTGAATCACATGGTCAAGCTGTTCATATGCTTCAGTCCCCTAGAATGGTTCCTAATGGTCGCTAATGTTTTTTTCTGGTTGAACAGACAAGGTAGGGACCAGAAGGTTGAGTCCTAAAGACAGAAGCCAGCTGTGGTTGTATGTGTGTGGGTGCAGATGCATGCGCACATGTTTGCCTACGCTAAAGACGGAGGGAGGGAGGACGATTTGAGCCCAACAAGGTCTGCCAAAGGACAGTGTGTACAGGTCTCTTTCTATTGGTGGGGTGAAACAAGAGGAGATCTGTGATAATGCCTCTAGTTTCCCCAGCTACATGGGTGTTAGGACAGAGTCTGTAGAAAAGGGATAAGGAGAGTTATCTGCTCAGCAGAGGTTCTGGGCCACATTGATGACGTTGGTGATGATTGTAATAGCAGCTTAGCAATTTTTTTATTAAGTGCTTACCACATGTCAGGTGCTGGGCTATGTGCTTACCATTAAAAGGACAAAACTTGGTGTCCTGAAATCCTGAAGGGATGAACAGGTAACAGAATTGAGAGAAGTGGGTTCAGTATAGGAAAAACAGTGGAACCAACACTTAGCCTAAGAGCAGGGAGACATTTGGAAGAGTTAGAGGGAATTGCCTGTGCCAGTTTTTGCCCTTTGGGCCTAGAGTTGCCAGGTCTTCCAATATTTTTTAAAAGAAGCTGGGATCCTAGAATTTTTTCCTAATCAGTTTTATTAAGGCATAATAATTAAATAATAATTATTTTATTAGGGTAGAATAAACTTACACAAACTATGCACAGTTTAAATATACAGTTCAACAAATATATCTACCAAGGAAACCACCTCTACTATCAAAATATAGACCAGTTGGGCTGATTATAGCTCAGTGGTAGAAAGCTTACCTAGCATGTATAAGGTCCTGGGTTCAAATCTAGCACTGTGGGAGAAAAATAAATGAATAAAACAGTGTGCATGTACGTGTATATGTATGTGAAACAATTTTATCAACTCTAAAGGAATCCTACATAATTTTAATTAGATTAAATGTTAGAAACAAAAAGAATTTTTTAAAATCAGGAATTGAACCCACATCCCCAGTCCTCTTTATTTTGAGAAAGGGTCTTGCTAAATTGGTGAGGGCCTCTTTTTTTTTTTTTTAATTTATGTTTTAGTTGTAGTTTTATTTTATTTTATTTATTTATGTTTATTTTTTATTTTATTTATTTATGTTTATTTTTTATTTTATTTATTTATGTTTATGTGGTACTGAAGATCGAATCCAGGGCCTCGCAGGTGAGGGGTACCACTGAGCCACAACCCTAGCCCCTGGTGAGGGTCTCTTTAAGTTGCTGATATTGGCCTTGAACTTGAGATCCTCCTGCCTTAGCTTCCCAAGTCTCTGGGATTATAGGTATGTAGCACCGCACTTGGCTTAAATTAAAAAAATTTAAATGCTGCACAAGCCAAATGTATCCTGAGCTGTTTTTGACCTCTGAGCTTCCAGTTAAGAACCTCCAAGGCAGGGAAGACCCTTTACTAGAGTGTCTTGTGCCTCATGGCACAACCCAGGCTATGACCAGGGCTGTGACCTGTATCAGGAGTCATATTAGGGACTTGTCAATCAGTGGTTCCAATTCCCTGAAAGCACCAGGTGGGCCTGTCAAGAGGTCAGAGCATGTAGAAATATTCGCTTGAGAGCTCATGGCTGGACTGTGCTGCAGGCTGTTTCAGAACTGCAAACATAGGGGCCCCATGCACTGGTCTTGGGCAGACTTCAGATATAAGGAAAAGCTGTAGGGAGTGCTTCTGGGCCAGGACCAACCATCCTTATACAAGGATGTATAAGGATGTCATTTGACATGATGGCTCTTTGGCTCAGGCAAAGACGGAATCACTAGAACTACTGAGCAATGCTATGTATTGATCACACTTCTCCAATATTCCACAAATTAACTCCCCTAATCCTCCCTGACTCTCTGAAGCAGATAATATCCCCATTTTACAGATGAGAAAAGTGAGATGCAGAGAAGTTAAGGAGCACAGCCAAGTGGTGAAGATGGGGTTCAAATCCAGCAAATCTACTTTGAGAGTCTGTGTTCCTGCTCCTAGAAGAGGGGGATGGGGATGACCATGGGACTTAACCACCCAGTCCCCAGGCAGATTCACTGTGGTGCTCCCCCCCCCCCACTAAGCATGGGTTTGACTTTAGAACCCAACCTAAACCAACACTGTACTAGCCAGAAACAATTGATCTGAATTGATGTTTTAAGTTTATTTCTATCCTTGGTCTAAGTCCTTTGAGGTTTGGTCTATTTAAAACCCTCTGCCAAGGGTTGGGGGTTGGGCCCACCCCTCCCTACCAATATAGCGAAATCTTAAAAAAAGACTTCAGTTCTGGATTTGAAACTAAACTCCTCCTCTTTAAAATTTCATGACCTTGGGAAGAAGGCTTCAGTGTCCTTATCTCTAAAATGATGATAAGCAGTATTCTAAGATTACTGTGAGACTATGCCAAATAACCTTAGTACCCTGTACTTTATCTTAAGTACATGGTAGGTGGTTAATAAAAGTTTGTGGCCTGAATGAGGATGTTGATGATAACGATGATGGTTTTTATGATTATTATTTTAGAACAAAGAGCAAGTGGAAGAGAAGGGAACAAAACCAAAGCATGCATTGAGTACCAGAGGTGTGCAAGCTGACATCAGGGGGCCTTGGGAAGGTAAGTGGGCCCATTTGCTTCCTCCCACATTGAACACACAGTGCATTCATAATGAAAATATTGACAGTATCACCCACATTGTGATTCCTGAGAAACTGTTGAAGCTGTTTTGTCTTATTCACAGTTCTTTGTCATATATATATGTAATTTATATATACATACACACACACATATCCCACTACAGATGGATATAGTCAATTGAAATAGGTTTTATTTTTTTTTTGGTGCCAGGGATTAAACCCAGGGGTGTTCAACCACAGATCCACATTCAAATGTCCCCAGGCTATTTTTTATCTTTTTATTTTGAAACAGTGTGTTGCCAAGTTGCTTAGGGTCTTGAACTTGCTATCCTCCTGCTTCAGCCTACCAAGAAGCTGGATGTATAGGCGTGTGCTACCACACCCAGCTCATTTGTAATGTTTTGACTTGGAGCTGGGTGTGGTGGTACTTGCCTTTTGTCCCAGCTGCTTGGGTAGCTGAGGCAGAAGGAGAGGCTTGTGCCCAGAAGTTTGGGATCAGACTGGGTAAAATAAGCAAAATAAAAATGAAATCACTTTTTAAAAATTGAAATCACTCCTATCTGTTTACTGTACCACCAACTTGATAATCAGGTTTTTAAAATTTCATTTTGCATTAAATTTTTATGGATTGCTTTTTTAAAAGTTCCATTTTCTTTAGAAAATCCCATAATATTTACATGGTTTCAAAGTTGAATCAACATAACAAGGTATATTGAGAGAATTTTGGTTTTTACTTTTGTTCTTAAACATTGTTTTCTTCTTCTATACATAATTGTTTAAAAATCTTTTATCTTGGGCTGGGGTTGTGGCTCAGTGGTATAAGTGCAAACCTGGCATGTGCGAAGCCCTGGGCTCAATCCTCAGCACTGCATAGAAATAAATAAATAAAATAAAGGTATTGTGTCCAATTACAACTAACTAACTAACTAAATATTTTTTTTAAATCTTTTTTTCTTTTGAACTCGGGTTAACTTAGACCACATTGCAAGTGCGCACATACATACACACACACACACACACACACACACACACACACACATACACAATCACCCATACACAAACACATTCTCCCTTGGATAAAGAGACTTCCCTACACACTGTTCTCCACCTTGCTTCTTTTTACTTTCAGAACATCCTGAGATTACTCCCTAGCTTTTTGTTGTTGTTGGTGGTGGTGCAACACTCCATTGTGTGGATGTTCCATGGTTCACACAGCCTCCTGATGGTCTTTATCTCCAGCCTTCGGCTAGACTGAATGGCCTGGTGCACGTACTTTGCAATGTCTTTGTGACAGATACCTCCAAATGGGACTATATCTTTACCCTGCCTGTTTTCCTGTAGAGAGCCAGAAGGCCGACCTGTCAGAGGGAACAGTGGAGAGGCTGCCCTCCTTCAGCACTTCAGGAATGGGTGCTGACCTCGTCTCCCAGGCAGGGGCCTCACCTGGGCAGGTGGATGGGGTTCTTGGCCCAGGTCAGGTACCTCTTGGCCACCTGCTGCTGCCCACAGAGGTTGAAGCCAAAGATCCTGAGACATCCAGTGAGAACCCTGGGACTCGCCTGGAATTGTCTGCAGCATCTAACAGGGTCATCGAGGCCCCCACCAGCCAGGATGTGACACCAAGTACAGGACAAGGAACATCATCCAGCAAGCTTGATCCTCAGTCCTCAGAAGAAGTCTTATGGTTGACTTCAGGGCCCAGTTCTGAGCCCCCAAGGGCTCCAGCTCTCTCCAGGGCAGCTCACACTGGTGGAGAATCTCCGCTAAGGTAAGGGTTGCTCTTCTGTGCTGGGCAGCGGGTAGAATTAACTACAGTCCCTCAGAGGCAGCATGGCAATGGGCCAGTGACACATGCTGAATGACCACTGTATGCCTAGAGCTAGACTAGCTTGCTGAGGGGAAGACCCTGTGTTTTTTGGAAGATTAAAGCACCGGTTGTCACCTGCTGCCCCCTACAGTTATCTGGAGATTTAAAAAATACTAACACCCAGAAATTCTGAGTCAATGATTCTGGAATGAGTCTTAGACATGGTTTTTGTTTTAATTTGTTCTTTTTAGCTATACATGACAGTAGAGTGTTTTTTCTTTTACATATTATTATTCATACATGGAGCATAACTTATTCTAATTAGGATCCCATTCTTGTGGTTGTACATGGTGTGGAGTTAAACTAGTTGTGTATTCATATACGAACATATGAAAGTTAAGTCCAATTCATTCTGTCTTTCCTGTTCCCACTCCCTCCCTTCCTTTCAGTCTCCTTTGTCTAATCCAGTGAACTTCTATTTCTCTCTCCCCTTCCTTATTGTGTGTTAGCATCTTCATATCAGAAAGCACTTTCGGCTTTGTGTTTTTTTGGATTGGTTTATTTCACTTAGCATGATAGTCTCCAGATCCATTCATTTACCAACAAATGCCATAATTTCATTCTTCTTTATGGCTGAGTAATATTCCAGTGTGTGTGTGTGTGTGTGTGTGTGTGTGTGTGTGTGTGTGTGTG